GCAGTACATCATGACAGGTTCTTAGTTTGGTGTCACAGCAATAATGTTATACAAAACATTCCTGACTGATCTTCACTACGGAGTGTTCCTGGGTGTGTCTCAAGAGCCGTTTACTACACCATATAACTGGAATGAAGAAGAGGGTGTCGTTAGAGGTCGTCATGTGGCTCGTCTGACAAACAGGAAGTCTGGTATTACCGTTGCCGTCCACACTCTCTCTCTTGATGTTCCATAAGGCACCATTCTTGGGCTGGAATGGTTGACTCACTGCCATACACACACTGGCACCTCTAACACTACACCTCTGCCTAGAAAACAGTTCTGTGAGGAGAGTCTCATGAAAAAGGGATAAACTGGCCTCACAAACGACCAGTCATTATGGTATCATGAGTATGACAATCCTGACTGATGGTTTGTTACTTGACAATGACCTTCATTATCTTTTCATTGTCGCACATTCATAACTTCATACTTTAAAACCCAGTGAAATGAAAGGACACAAATATTTAACAGTGCTTGTCAAAACGTGGTAAGAGTTTAGCGTGTTTGTGTTAACACCGTGAAAGTTGTCATCCAGATGATACAGTACAGTCAATAATATTCTTGATTTATTTGTATTTATTACAGGAGCTTTTCAAGAGAGCTGCAGCTGACAAATGGTTCAGTTGTGACAATTTTACCAATACTTCACAATTTACCTGAGCACACTCATTCAAACTTAATCTCAAACTCATTTATAAATAATGATCACTACCCACGTCTCCCCGCCCCAGCCTGGCGGAGTTTGTCACCTTTAATGCCAACTGTCTGGTCACAACTACAACCTTTCTTTATAATCGCTGCCAAAATCAGAGTATCTACGGGAACCATTGTTTAACATCTCTCACACACGCTGCGGGTGAGATAACCTTCCTCACTCTAAAAGTTATGTTTCGTAAATCACTTCACTGGTAAAACACTTTCGTAAAACTCAGGACACCATTTACATATAAGGCTTCAGGTTAATTGAATATTTTTTCCTTTAAGTTGAAAAAAAAAATGATAATGGTAATTATAATAATCCGTAGCACCACTTTAGGTCTTCCCATTGGAAAGAGGACACATAATAATAATATTAATACTTGAAGTTAAAAGTAATATGATTTATAAATAATAATAATAATAATAATAAAATAATAATTAATGTGAATGGTATATTATGTAACAAACAATATATCTCGCCGCGTTTCTCTTCCATTTTATCGTAGTTTCCCTTTACCTCCTCCTACGCCCTCTTACCCTTCCCTCTTCTACCTACTCTACCAATCCATTTACTCGTTTCCTCCCTTTATCATTTTCTTTACTTATCTCTCTTCCTCCTCACTCTCCTCTCCATCCCATCTATCTCACTCACCCATTTCTTCTCCCTCTCTCCCGAAACATCAGCCCTCTCCTCCCTTCACCACCAGTTCCCCCACCATTATCTCCACCATTCATCACCATCGCCCTGTTGGAGGATGTTCCGGCTGCCACCACACACTTAAACGCGAATATTTTACTCCTACGTGTAATATATAAGGCACTTGAAATAGATAATGTATAGTGTGGCGTGGGGCTGGTTTTCGTCAGTCTGCCTCTAATCCCGAAAAAAGTGAAAATTCCTCCTTTTTTTCGCCTTCGGGATATAATTTTCCCTCTCACTATTTACTTCTTCGTCCCTAAAGCTTTTTCATTCTATCGATCAATCTGTGTAAGGTGTGGATATGTCTGGAGTACTGGTTGGTCTCTCCCTGTAAGGTGTGGATATGTCTGGAGTACTGGTTGGTCTCTCCCTGTAAGGTGTGGTTATATCTGGAGTACTGGTTGGTCTCTCCCTACAGACTTTGGCCAGGACACTCCAGCGCTCACAATAATCTCGGCACCCTGGTCAACGACACCTCTGAGGCCGAGAACCACTTCCGCCTGGCACTCAAGGCTCACCCTCAACACGCCCATGCCTACTACAACCTGGCCAACCTCAGGCAGTAAGTGTTTGTTCACTCTCACCACACCTCCGCCCTTACAGCACATCCCTACAGCACACTCCCGTCCTTACAGCACATCTCTCCCTTACAGCACACCCCGCCCTTACAGATCCTCCTCACAAAACAGCCGCCCTCACAACACAGCCATCCTCACAACACAGCCGCCCTCACAACACAGCCATCCTCACAACACAGCCGCCCTCACAACACACTACACCTTCACACCAATACACTATTCCTGGCTTTTAGATAAATAACAAATTTTGCAGGAGTAAGGGAGCGTGACACCTGGCCGGTACACCGCTCTTCGTTGTAAAATGTACACACCAGTGGATGTTCCACGGCTTCAGTCCTGTTGAAGCCAAACTGAATGAAGCTTTTTTTTCCCGCTGGACGCTGTTGAATATCAGAAATGTATAAGAGAAACAGGGCGCTGCAGGAAGCGAGTCAACTCAACTCTCTTCCTACCTCTCTGCCCAACAGAGAGCGGAGTAGTTTGAGGCAAGCGGAAGTGCTACCAGTAAAAGAATACCTCTTACTTAACTCTCCCTTACTCTGCCCACCAGACAGCAGGGAGAAGCAGAGTCGCTGCTGGTAGAGGCTCTCTCCTCCACCACCAGCCAGACGGCAGAGTAACCCAATGCCTTACTCTCTTCTTTACCCACAACATAACTCTGCCTCACTGGAAAGGAAGATCCTCTACCGGGAAAGAACTCTTCCTTAACCTTTCTCTCTCACTATCCAACAGACAGCAGGGGCGCATGGGGGAGGCGGTGGCACTGTTGGAGGAGAGTCTGCGCTACGACGCCACCAACAGGGACGCGGTGTCGTCCCTGGCGGGGCTGTACAGTGACGCGGGACGATCCACCGAGGCTGAGAACCTCCACTTGGCGTTGCTGGCCGCCCGACCTTCTGACCCCGTCGTCCACAACAACTACGCCGCCTTCCTGCAGAAGATTGGTGAGCTCCTACACCTTCTTGTTACAGTAGATGCGTCCACCTTCCACCAGTCTTGTCTACTTTCTCCACTACCTTCCACCAGTCTTGTCTACTTTCTCCACTACCTCCCACCAATCTTGTCTACTTTCTGCACTACCTTCCACCAGTCTTGTCTACTTTCTCCACCTCCTCTCCCCCTCTCTCTCTCCTTTGCCTTGAAGGGTTAAAGTTCACCTGGCTACCTATGAACATCTCAAGCGACAAGATCTTAATTAGGATTTACATGGGGCGCTTCACTTTAAGTTCCCCCTTTGTTTATATAAGACTTTTACTGTCTCAATGTGGAATTAGTGCCGAGCTACTGACAGTGTGTGTGTGTGTGTGTGTGTGTGTGTGTGTGTGTGTGTGTGTGTGTGTGTGTGTGTGTGTGTGTGTGTGTGTGTGTGTGTGTGTGTGTGTGTGTCACCGTCTTAGGTAGTGGTCAATATAACAGTGTGCCTCAGTCAGTTTATGTCCATCTCCCTTAACTAGAGCTCTACATCTCTTCCTTTATTATCTCCACCAACAACTGCCTCTATAGACCCTCTCCTCTATGACCACTCTCTTCATTATTCACCATTGTCTCCCGCTTCCATCACCCATTGTAACTCAGCCCCTCTTACCTCCTTGAGTGACGCCCAGCCCAGCCAGTCAAGGTGGAGGAGAAACCCTTGTCTATTGTAATGGGTCGAGTGGAATTCCTTTACCGAAATTTTACCCTAAAGGTGGAATCCCGAAATTAAATTCCGTCAAGAAGTGGATCGTTACGGTGTGTCGTGCTCCGCCTCTTGAGTAACAGCCAAGTGTAGCTCTTAACAAGGCTCACACATCCACACACACCCACACCCCACCCACACACACTCCTGCCTGCCTTTTTGTTAATCAACGTTTACTCTTCACATTTGAAGCTGAGGTGTAGCGTTATATAATATAAATTCTCTTTGGTACCTGTAATTATTTTGTACAGGTGTGTGGGGTCGTATATAAAATAATCTTAAATGTTTGTTTTTTTAATGAAAATCGTTTAAAAATCTAAAGAAAATATTGTCATGTAGTCAGTAAAAGTTAGAGTCAAAATTAAAAGGTCTTTGATGTTTCCCAATTAAGCTGGAAGACGTTGTAAAATTAGTCGCACGAAATGGACAATTACGAAGTTATAACAAAGCAAATGTCTGAAGTAAAGAATTATTTTCGTGTTGTTTGAGAACTGACAGTTTCTCTCACTGATCACACAACACGGTGATTATGACACAACAGTCAGGAGAAAATAATAGTGAACCTTTTATTCCTTGATGCTGGAGGACTTTGTTCCCTTAAGACCTCATGTTACCAAAGACCCCGGAGCTGGTGGTCTTGACACCGCCTCCCTCCTCCTCCTCCCGCCACGTTCTATCCGTCTTCGTTCTGACCTACAGTAATTCCTCCTCGTCACGTTCCATAATCTTGTGATGTCCCGCGGGGTTATTATAACGAGCTGCATCTCTCTCATCTGCGGAAAGGATGGATCCTTAGCCTTCCCGGGTCCGGGCCCGGCCTGGCCTGGCTTGGCTTGGCTTGGCTTGGCCTGGAGTGATTGGTTAGCTGGTGAGTTCAAGCCAGGGGGGAGCCGGATGGTCGAGGTATAGAGAGGATCAGGTGGTTGACGTAGTGAAGTGAGTAGCTGCTTTGATACTCGGAATGAGTTTTCTCGCTGTAGGCAAAAACCCGTAACTGAGCTACGGTCTGAAAAGAGATCTGGGATCTTTTGTGTGGGAAACAAACTCGCCTGGAAACCTTATTTACATACATACATACATACACACACACATACATACATACATACATACATACATACATACATACATACATACATACAAATTATTTACAACTACTGTATATATTTACTCGGTATCCTCTTGAAGGGAGAACTGAAGGTCGACCGCCAACCCTGTACGGTATATTAACAGACATCTCTCGCCCGGCCACAGGTCGTCGTGAAGCAGCACTGCGTCACTACGAGGCGGCGCTGGGGCTGGACCCTCAGCACACCGTGGCTCTGGTCAACACAGCCAGACTCATGAGGACGCTTCATCACAACAACCAGGCGGAGATGCTATACAAGAGGTGAGTCACGCCCTCCTGTGGTGGGAACTGTAATCCTCAACTTATGTTCTTTCCCAAACAAACAAACAAACAAAACGGTGAGGTAACAAGTGCACAATACTGGACAATAAAATAATATAGTAAACAGTATAGTCTAATACACATGAATAACACGGTATATTAGAAATAATTTATTGTAATCTTATAGCAACTACCTACCTAACCTAACCTAACCTAACCTAACCTAACCTAACCCCAAACAGCTTTAAGCAACACACATGACCATTTAGAATTTTACTGAAACAAGAAAATACTTACGAGTTATCCCTCAAGTATAACAAAACCAACGTCTTTTATCTATGGTAATTTATGTTTTATATATTACTAAACTTAAAAAATGACTCAGATAATTTATGGACACTCAAGTAATGTTAGTTACTCCCCTAGACTAGTCCTCCTCCTCACAGCCAAAACCAACTGGTAGTCTCCCTGAGGTAAATAAATCACAGAGAGCAAATTACTTTACACAGACTCCCAAATGTTGATCCATGAATTAAACACAGAAGAGATTTAAGGTATAGTCACTATCTCTCTCTCCTCTCCCTCGGTCACTGGACGATGAAGCTATCCCCTCTCTCCCTCGGTCACTGACCCTACCCTCCCTGACCCTACCATACCCTCCCTGACCCTACCATACCCTCCCTGACCCTACCATACCCTCCCTGACCCTACCATACCCTCCCTGACCCTACCATACCCTCCCTGACCCTACCACACCCTCCCTGACCCTACCATACCCTCCCTGACCCTACCCAACGTGCAGTACCTCCTCTACCCAGTAACTGAGTGGGTTAAATGCTCTCCCATGTTGTTGACTTAACCAGAGAGTTAAGTGTGTTCTTATATCATTAACACGTGGGTAAAATGTTTCCCTTATTTAGATATACAAAGGGTAAATGTTCCCCCAGTACCCCAGTAACCGGTGAATTAACCCCAGTAACCGGTGAATGAATTAACCCCAGTAACCAGTGGATTAACCCCAGTAACCGGTGGTTCCTCGTACAGAGCGCTGGCCGTGGCGTGGGAGGCAGAGATCGGTGAGAGTCTCGGGAAGCTCTACCTGAACACCGGGCGTCTGGAGGAGGCTGAGGCCACCTTCACCACCGTCCTCGCTCACCACCCACATATGCTCTCCTCCACCGTCTACCTGGTAAGTTGACAGTACTCCCTCTCTCTGTCATTTCCCGTTTTTCTCTTCTCTTCCAACTATTATTTTCTCTCTCTCTCTCTCTCTCTCTCTCTCTCTCTCTCTCTCTTTCCACAACTAGATCGTCCTATCATGCCTTGTGTTATTTAAAACAAGTCTAGTTATCCTTATATTAAATGCATGACGCAGTTAATTAGCGTATGTACCTTAGAATTGCTTATATATAAAAACCTATTAATTTCAGTGCCTAAACATTCCTCCAGAAAATGTTGTTGAAGTCATCAATTCAGACGTATGCAAGAGAATGTTTACTCTTTCCTTAAAAACCTCTGTGCACCTTCCATGTTATTCCAAGTCTAATTACTTACCTGCACAGAACATACCTTAATATACAGCATGTTGCTTACCTCACGTTTTTTGGGGGTCTGCTCTCGGGATTAATTTCAAGACTGAATTAGCTTTGTTTGCCTCGTTGTATAGTTCAGAAAGGCTTACTGAATACTTTACTAACCTTTTTTTTTGTCATTCCCAAACACTGTATAAACGCAACAACTTTCAGGAGAAGTTATTTTGATTTCGTGCCCAATTGTCTGTTAAACTGGTACGTTTGGGAAGGTACTGGCAGACCCATTGTGTGATATATGTTATTTGAACAATAGAAATATATACAAATTAATCCAATTTGGCAATTATCCCTATCAAGCATGACATATTTATACCCCCCTTGTGTGTGTGTGTGTGTGTGTGTGTGTGTGTGTGTGTGTGTGTGTGTGTGTGTGTGTGTGTGTGTAAAGCCGTTTTTTCTATCATTTACTAACGTGTTTATATAATATCATTTTCTTGCATCATCTCTGCTTTCCTCCTCTACTTCCCCACTTCTTATCGTCTGCCCCTCCTCCTTCTCTCCAGTATCTCTCTCGTTCTGCTCACACACTTCCCTCTCTATGCCTCCTCTTCTTCCGGTCTTTACTCGGTTTACTTCCTCTCCCTTTTAACTTCAATTTATCCACTTGGTTCTTTTTCTCGTCGTGTTCTTTATTTCTCCTCTATGCATTTTCATGTGAAATTGTATTCTCTCACACGTTTTCCGTCCATTTCATTTGTCTTTCTCCCTATCCCAGGAATTTTTGCTGCCGGCCACCACTCCCCCCCCTCTCGCTCCATTGCCTCCACACTATCCTCTCTTCTCTTCTCCTCTTTTTTCCACCTCCTCTCACACTTCTCTCTCCCCCCCCCCACACACACACCTTTTTCTCTGTTGAATATTCCCATTGACTTGTATTCACCGCCTCCTTGTATTATTTTTACTTTGGATTCTATTCTTGATGTTGTCTTCTGGCGGTCTCCTCAACTCTTTCATCATATTATCTTTCTTTATTTCTGTGTGTGTGTGTGTGTGTGTGTGTGTGTGTGTGTGTGTGTGTGTGTGTGTGTGTGTGTGTGTGTGTGTGTGTGTGTGTGTGTGTGTGTGTGTGCGTGTGTGCGTGTGTGTGCGTGTGTGTGTGTGTGTTATAACTCAATGGATAGGTTAGGTTAGGTAAAGATGTTAGCTTCAGTCTATATTCATAAAGTTAACGGTTAAAATAAACAGCAATATCACTGAGGTTATACGAGTACTGAACATGACCAGAGGAAAGTTGACCTACCGAGTTAATTACAAAAACACGTTCATCATTAGACTACACCATCAAGTTAGACGTAGAGAAGAGTCGACCTACTGTAGCCAGGAGTAAACACAGGTGTATCATAACCCATTCATCCGTGAGACTCTATACACGAGGTCGTTCACTGTGTTGCTCCTAGAGGTGGTTACTTGGCCTCCCCAGCCTCGGCCTAACCTCACCTCATAAATAGGGATGAGGCGTTAAAACTAAACCCCTTTAAGACTTCACCTAGACTCTAATATCGAGGTTAGGGACGGTGAACATATAATGAGTCACTCTCCTGACTATTTGACTACCCCTCCTGACGCAGGCGCGGGTGAAGCTGCAGCAGCGAAGCTACCTAGTGAGCGAGGACCTCCTGCGTCAGGTATTGGACCAGGCCCCGGGGCACCAAGAGGCACTCTTTCAGCTGTCACTCCTTTACACCCACACCAACCGTACCCAGGATGCCCTTGCCCTCGCCCAGCAAGCCGCCCATAACTGCTCAAGGCCACCCAACCTATGCGCCCGACTCCACGCCCACTACGGAGACCTCCTCAACGATAGGCACAATGTGGATGAGGCCGCCCAGGTAAGAGGCTCTCTCGTGTATAGTGACGCCCAAAAAAAGTTCTCTAGTGTAGTGGTGTAGGTCTGTGTGGGGCACCAGAAGCTCTCACACACACAGAGCTGAACAAGGAGTGTGTGGAGTGGATCTTGTAGCCCCAGTGTGAGGAACTACTGTGGAGTTAAGGAATATTTGTGGCAATATTAAGGACTTAACGTGTATGTGGGAATACTTATAGAAGAAATGCAGCTGTAAGAAGTGTGTGAAGGAAAAGTGTATGTGTGAAGGTCTTAGGTGTTAACGAGGGGTTGGTTGTGTTAAAGGTGGTCTGTGGAAATACTAAATAAAATACTAAAGATACATATTTCCTTGTTGATGTAGAGTTACCTGCTGGCAGTAGAGCTTGAGCCGACACTCACCCACCCCCACATCAACTTGGGCGCCCTCTACCACGCTAAGGTGAGTTACCCTTCTATTATACTCCCTCTTGCGAGACTGACTTCCTTGTGGTCCCCTCAGTTCACACTGATAAATGGCTAAGTTACCCTAGTGTTACATAGCCATACGTCAGGGACTTACACACATGCCTAAAAGTACCAAGGAATAATCTGATCAAGTGACTCACAAGTAACTCAAGTCGACACCATAAAGGAGTTCCGATATACTGCAACATCTCCAGTCACTCTTATGACCTTACTAGTGTCACTCTCAGGTTAGGTTAGATATAGTGTGTGTAAGCGACTATCGTAGTCCATCTCTTCCCCCAGGGTGACTACGCCCGCGCCTGGAGACACTACCTGACTGCGCACGGACAGGAGCCCTCCAACACCCTCCTGCTGGAGAACATGGAGAAGCTGCGGCGGGTACAAGACCTCCATGCCCCCTCCAACATTCCTCACTGCCTCAACAAGTCCTGATATTTGTTCCATGACTCAGAGGTGTCATTCGAATCATTTTTGAACACGATTATAGATTGATACTTCGATTGCTAAAGAATGAAACAAAATAATATCTGAAAAGTTTCGAAGACATAAACACGTACACATACACAGAAACACACACACCCTGACACACAAGACCACTTACACATAAACATACGCACACACAAGCTAATATTTTCCTTCCTTTTATAATGTGGAAGAAGTTTTGGTCTGACTGTGCGTTTATTCCTCTATATAATCTTACGCATAAGACAACTACATCCTCACAACTTACGGCCGACATACCTGGACAGTATGTCATTATCTACAGTCGAGTTTGTTGCTTATAAATAAATAAGTGAAAAAAAAACAAATCCTCTTCACCCCAAAAAAAAAGTGACGTCAATGAGCCCTAGTTAACGCTGGGGGTCCTAGAGACGTCCTGAGAGACTACAGTGGACGTCAAGTAATGGTTCCTGATGACCTGACACCTCACAAGTGACTCAATGCTTGATTCAGGTGACCTTCAATGACGCCAAGTGATCCACGTTAGATGCATAATTGATGTAAATGGTGTCAAACGACGGCAAGTGACTCCAAACTGATCCAGACGACTTAAAATAACATTAAGTGACCCAACAAGTGATCAAGGACACCTTCAATAACTCCAAGTGACCTCTTTTTGACGCAAATGACCTTAGACGCCACTTAATGACCCTACATGACCTTCAACATAACCTCAGATGACCACAAGACCCTAAAGTTAACAACCCCCGTGCGGCCCACGTCACCAACCAGCATCCTATGTTATCAATCAACGATCTTAGATAATTGCAAGTCTCGTCACGCGCCCAGGTGGTAAAAGATGACAACAGATTAACGCTAGGCAACCCATGTTCATCTGAGGTGACCTGGATGACCCCGAGGTGACGTAGGTGTCCAGTTGAATCCAGGAGACGTGTGTGTTGTCGTCTACCATCCCGAGGCCCGAGGCTGGTTGTCGGTGTGTCGTTAATATTTATACATGTTATCGAAATTTATTCTAAAACGTACGGATGACGACGACAGACTTACCAATACCAGGATACAATACCAGGATATAACACCAGGATATAACACCAGGATATAACACCAGGATGTAACACCAGGATATAACAACAGTATATAACACCAGGATATAACACCAGTATATAACACCAGGATATAACACCAGTATATAACACCAGGATATAACACCAGGATATAACAACAGTATATAACACCAGGATATAACACCAGTATATAACACCAGGATATAACACCAGTATATAACACCAGGATATACACACACAGTATATAACACCAGGATATAACACCAGGATATAACACCAGGATACACACCAGGATATAACACCAGGATAAACACCAGGATAAACACCAGTATATAACACCAGGATATAACACCAGGATATAACACCAGTATATAACACCAGTATATAACACCAGTATATATATAACACCAGGATACAACACCAGTATATATATAACACCAGGATACAACACCAGTATATAACACCAGGATATATAACACCAGTATATAACACCAGGATACAACACCAGGATATAACAACAGTATATAACACCAGGATATAACACCAGTATATAACACCAGGATATAACACCAGTATATAACACCAGGATATAACACCAGGATATAACAACAGTATGTAACACCAGGATATAACACCAGGATATAACACCAGTATATAACACCAGGATACAACACCAGTATACAACACCAGTATATAACACCAGGATACAACACCAGTATATAACACCAGGATACAACACCAGGATATAACACCAGTATATAACACCAGGATACAACACCAGGATATAACAACAGTATATAACACCAGGATATAACACCAGTATACAACACCAGGATACAACACCAGTATATAACACCAGGATATAACACCAGGATACAACACCAGTATATAACACCAGGATACAACACCAGTATATAACACCAGGATACAACACCAGTATATAACACCAGGATACAACACCAGGATACAATGGAGATAAAAACAGCACAGTAACGCATCAGTAATACTGCTTCTTCCTTCCAAGTTCTACCGTTTTAATAATATAATAGTTAACACTGGACTCTGTTACTTCAATAATGGTGTGTTGATGCGGTGGTTCGGTGTCATAACTACCAACGTGACCCGAACAAGACAGCGAGCGTTACTGGTACTTACAGCAGTTCATAGTAACATTAATATAGTCCTGAATTACCGTCAACAACACACACACTTGCATACACTTAAACATAGTTAGCTCTTGGTAGTAAATTACTGAGTATTTTACACATAAATCCTCTAATATGGAATAAACTGATGAAATGGTAAAAAAAAAATATATGAATGAAGTGGACAGGTGAAGCTGCAGGTAGACTCTCAGCCCCGAGTTATCCAAGATGAGAGAGAACGCTACAGTGAGGTTAAGAACAGAGTATAATGTCTAGTCTTGATACCTTCCAGAGCTTTCATCCCCCAGCTGACTACCTGAAGTAAATAATCCCAGCACTTTTTGACTCTTTTTGACTCTGTTTTCAAATTAATATCATCTAACCACACGATAACATTCACCACTTCATGGGAGGGACCTACCAAATTCACACTCACTTTACGAATAAATTACAACTATAATCAATCAAAGACTAAACTGAGAAGAACATCACCTGAGTGTTCATTACGGCGCCATGTACTGTGTGTTGTACAGGTGTATTGCACGAGAGTAAACAAACGGGCCTTTCAACCCTGTTTTCATTTTAGGTTTAATCAATGTTTGTTGTGTTACCTTATACCTGTTACCTGGCATCATCGGGTCCTCCCATTACCCCCCCCCTCTCTCTCACCTGTGATTCAGCTCTTAACATACTCAATGGGTTTAACTTATACTAAACCTTCCCAAGACTTAAAAACAGAACAAGGTTTTATTCCTAAAATTTTCATCTTATTGGTTTATTTTTGTCCCCCCTTCTCCTCTGATCAGTTCTTTTCTTTTCAATTCCGTTGCTAGAATTTGTAAACGCGATCGTCGACATGTTGTGTGTTTGGGGTAGCCGAGGGCGTGCACTTGCTCTGTTCTTCCTGACGTTTACAGACCAGACTGACCTTCGTTACAACCTCAGCTGGATTTCCTTGTACCCATCTCCCAGCAGTCTGCCTCAACATTGCTTCCATTTATGCTTAACTCCTCTGTCACCCGCCTCTGTCACCCGTCTCCGTCACCCGCCTCTGTCACCCGCCTCTGTACACCTGGTAAACGCTAACTTAGTCAAACTCAAACAGTAAACATCTCCGGAGAGCAACATTATTCTCAGCCACACCTCGTCCTCGACAACACTCGGGTATAGCCTCTTCCTCCCGCATCAGTATTCGAGGACAAACTCACAATAACTCTTGGAATCAACACGTTTCCGCTTTAGTATAAGACACCGCCTCTGTTGTGTCACCGGGAGAGTCATGCACCTCCTCTGGCTGTTATAAAAGGCCTAACCCACCAGATACTTTAACGATAACAAGACAGGATTATGGAGAGAGGTGGAACAGGAAGACGGTACACACGCTGGTTATGAGTAAGTTGTCTATACACACCAGATATAACCCGCTCCTGTACATACAGTTTATCAGTATGGATCTGTGTGTGCAAGGTGAAGGTTCCTGACATCTGAACCCCCCCCCCCATCACTTCCCATTTCGGCCGTGAACTCATATCTATTGATCTTAGGTTGTCTAAATTATACGCGAGTCCCAGAAACGTCGCCTCTTACCTCCCTGAGACGAGCGCTGTCCCCAGTGAGAGACACCTTACTTAAATGTCAATATGAGGAGCCAGGCGTCAGGTAATACTACATTAGTGCCTCACATGGCTGGGTAGCAACACAAACACCTGACACAAGAGAACTGATATCGAAGGAAAACTAGGTTCGAGCCCTTCGTGACGTCATCTGTAAAGGTTATAGGTGTCGGGTATTGATTTTAAAGTTTTTTTCTTCCCAGGTAATATGATTTGTCGACACACCTGTATTGATGAGAAGGTGTTATAATGAATCATAGAATCGAGCGCAGGTGAACGAAAACGACACGTACACACGCACAAACACGCCTACACATACATAAATATCCACCCACCCACACATACAAACACCAACCCATCCACCCACCCACACATACTAATATCCACCCACACATACAAACACCAACCCACACACCCACCCACGCCACCCATATGCAAAGTCAACTAGGCACAGTGGATAATAATGCTTCTAAATATCTCACGTGAACAAGACAGAATTAGTAAGTTAAATCATAATCTAAAGGAGAAAAAAACAAAGTAATTTAGTGTAATGGAACGGAATACCAGAATCTAAATATTGGAGACTGTTAACTAAAAAATTATCCCCAGGCTGTCACTAGAAGAGGAGGAGGAGGAAGAGGAGGGGGTTGTATGTTGATATCAACTTAGTCTGTCTGTAGTGGTGTTGGTGAATATGTCAGCTGATGTTTGTTTGGCTTCCGTGAGTTTATTATATATATTTAACACATTGAGTGAGTTATGGGTGTTGGTGAGAGCTGTGTTTGTGTCCAGGTGACGGTCACTAGCGCCAGTACTGCCCTAATTAAAGCCTGACAGGTATTTGCCTAATCTCTGACGGGTATTAAATTTCAACAAAACATCACAGGTATTTGCCTAATTAAATTTACAGGTGTTTTTCTTTAGCAAGTTAGCAACGTATCCCAGCTGGTTAAGGGCATGTATTTTTACTGATCGAGGAAATGTATCATTGTTAGTTACAGGTACAGTATGTATTCTATACGTGGTTTCAGGTATGTATTCTCGGTAGGTACAGTCATGTATCCTCGAATGATCCAGGTATGTATTCCCTACTAGTTACAGTATGCATTCTTGTTAGTTGCAGGCCTGTATGCTAGTTGGCTACAGCTAAGAGTGCGAGATAACACAAAATAAGGAAATAGTTACTGATATGTGTCCTCAATAGATACATGCATGCATTTCTGCTAGTCACAGTCCTAGAGATCTTGCTAGCTACACTTATCTACCATTGCTAGTTACATATACAGTATGTATCCTTGCTAGCTACTGGTATGCATCAATGGTAGTTACAGGTATTTATCGATGGTAGTTACAGGTATGTATCGATGGTAGTTACAGGTATGTATCGATGGTAGTTACAGGTATGTATCGATGGTAGTTACAGGTATGTATCGATGGTAGTTACAGGTATGTATCGATGGTAGTTACAGGTATGTATCGATGGTAATTACAGGTATGCTTTGCTCATGGTTACGAACACTAAAATTACTAGTTACAGGGCTGTCTTCCCTTGTTACTGGTAAATAACCTTACTAGTTACATAAACAGTTGGTTACAGGATGTTTCCTCACTAGTAACAGGTAAATGTCCTCCTCGACTACAAGAATGTATCCTGTTGGTGATTTTAAAAGTTAAATAAACGTGTGTGAGGACAGGATCTGGTGCTGGTGACGTCATCGGGACCATAGCTCTCAGTGGGATCAGGAACCCAGACCCTCAAAGGTTCCCGTCTCAAGTTTATTCCTTTAACTGATGATAAAACTCATCCAATTACTGACTTTATTTTGGCCGCTGTCTGTGTATTTAATTGAGTCAGGTATATGCGTTGTTACACCTTCACACTGAGGAACGCTTACGGACGGTCGGTAACTCGTTCTTATTCTAAACGCCCATGTGTAGAGGAAACTTGTTTAAATACTATTAAGGCTGATTTTCTGCTGACTTGTATTAGGTCTGAAGAGTTATAACAGGTATCAAAAATTAGTTCATCACGAAGGTCAAACACCGAGGTCTGTGTGTGGGAGGACGAGTAACGTACAGCAGGTGTATAGAGTTACGTTAGGTAAAGGTATATAGAGTAATGTTTTGTGAATCATTTTTGTTGGAGATTCTTTGTGTCAATAGTGCTGAGTAAACGTAGGAGGATCCAAACACATGTATTATGTGTTGATAACTAGAGAGAGAGTACTGGTACCAGCTCAACTGTTCACCATTATCAATAAACTTGTGCTACACTGCAGTAAGTGTGGAGGACAGAGGGAAATATTATTAAT